TATAGCAGAAAAACATAACGCCATTTATATCTTCCCTTGCAAAAACTGTCCGGATAAGTACGTACATTGGACAAACATCTAAAAAGATTCAGACAAGCCTAACAGAACACCAAAACGTAATCAACAGACACGACCATAGCTCACTTCCAGCTAAACACACAAACGACAATGGACATGAATTCGACTGGTCTCAAACGAGATGCTTAGGACAAGCAACGACAAAACAGGCCCGTGAGTTTAAAGAAGCGTGGCTTAGTTTAAACAAACAAACAATTAACCGTCACATTGACATCCCTACAATTTACTTAACAACTGAAACGCTCGCACAAATCTCTTAGTTCATCTTCATTAATCTTTTAATAACCCATGGTTGGCTGACAGACTATATTATATAGTTAACTTTAGCTAAATTAATTGATACAACCGACCCCTGTCTAACTGATACAACAACAGCTGCCTTGTTTAACACTATGTTGTTTAGCGTTTCGTGCCGTTTTTGGTCGCAGTTCGTGCAGTAACGCTGTTCGCGCTGAGGTAACTGCGGTTGTGTGGTGGCGCTAGGATGATTTAAAAGCAACTAAACTAGGAAAATCATCATAGCGACATGTAGCCGAAGTAAACCGCTTACAGACGAGCAAGTTTTCGGAGACAAGTTTTTATGTGACAAGTTTTATTTGCTCGTCTGTACGCGCAACTTTGACAATTTTTTCTATGACAAGTGCACTTGTTCAAAAGCTAACACGCTAAGTGCACTAAGGCAAGTGCACTTAATGGTCATAGAAAAATATCAAAGTACAAATTTTGTTCGTTTGTATGGATCAACAAAGAAAACTTGTCAAACTAATCTGAGCATTTGATGTGATTCGCCGTTGACCGCTGTAATAAATTGTCAAAGAAAACTTCTTGATACGTTCACACCAGTAAATAAAACTTGTCATATAAAATTTGTTGCATATACACACGTGCACATGGCAAATAAAACTTATCACATAAAAACTTGTCATAGAAAACTTGCTCGTCTGTATATAACTGGTTTATATCACATTTTTGTCGGTTTTCTTTGATCGTCCGAGGTTTATAACTAGCTTATATACCTTGAATAAATGATTAGATTAAACTTGTGGACAAAAAGCGAGAATTTTTCATTAAAAATGTTTGAAAATGACAAAATATGTTAATTAAAAATGTTTGAAAATGACAAATATGTTAGAAAACCTCCACAAATGTGATATAGCCTAAGTTAGTTATAAACCTCGAAAGTCGGTTTATAACTGATATATTGCCTGCCCTCGGACGCTATGCGTCCTCGGAGGCAATATATCAGTTATAAACCTCCCACTTGGTTTATAACTCTAACGTATTCTAGTAATTCATTTCACCAGGACGAAGCTCCCCAAAATTATTAAAGTGGGAGAACCTAATATTCTCTGCTGCCTCAAATGCAAATTTAAGGTTGTTATATATTGAATATCCATGATTCCCAGTTACATGTTTTGAAACAGTTTTTGTGAGTGGTTGGGTAAAACAAATCTTTTCCAGAACTTAACAGCCTCTAGATTCAAATTGTTTTGGGGAACACCCCTAGCTCCGGCATCCAAAATCGAGTTTGTCAGGCCTTTCTCCAATTCTCCCACCCAACCACACCATTATTCTGTCACCTATATGCCGGTAAAAAATCCTTCGACATCCCCTCAGTCGAACACCCATTGCCTTAGTAGCATCCCTATGGGTGCAGTTCTAATTTTTCTTAAAATAAACCCTGAGCACCAACCCAAGCACAGTTGGAGTGAGGACACAGAAAGCCAACACTGCAGCAACAATAGAAAATGTCTTAAGTGCTTTCACAGCGTGAAAAAATCCATTTAATGTAGCAGACATTTTGTTTGCAAGTTGTCCGTTGGAAGCTGTAACGGGTACTGCTGTTTCAGCCAAGATACGTTTTCGTTGTTTCTCAGCAACAATTAGAATTCGGATATTAAAGGAAGTGGTAAGTAATCAACAAAAATTTCTATAGAACGATGTATATCATTAATGTCACACAAACTGAAATCAAATCTTCTCCGATTAATGAACTTGTGAAAGAACGAAAAAACAGCACGCAGTCAGCCAACTTCCTGAAATAGCCAGAAAAACTCGTCGTTTGGTCACAATCATCGGATACTTGAGAGGTTTTACAATATATAAATAACATTCAACAGTAATGGCGAGAAGTGTAGCCACTGAAGCGAACAACAATGAGAAGATGGTAGAACGACTTGACTTACAAAACAGATTCTGCTCACTATCAATGTTGAATATGGTCAGTATAAACTCAATGATCCATATTGGAATAAATGTTAAACACACGAGAAGATCTGCCAGTGCCAAGTTTCCTACCAAATAAGATGTCGCGGTCTTTTCTTTGTTCGTGAAAATTACGTAAATTATAACTGTCATATTTCCCCAAATTTTTTTTTATATGTCATGAGAAAATGTTTGTATCTTTGCGAAAACTACGTGGTGTTAGAGGAAATTTTCGGATTTGTCCGGCAAAATTTTCGTATGTTTGTAGAAAAGTATTTGGTATGTCCGGAAAAATTTTCTTGATATTTCGGGAAAAAATTTTTGGTGGTCTCCTCCCCTGCTCGCCGACAATTTTTTGGTCTCCTCCCCTGCTCGCCGACTATACTGTGCCCCCCCCCCCCATACATGACTAGGCCCATACGCTCATGGTACTGCGGAGAAATGCATTGAATTATTTGCCATGTTTGTCTTTTGAAGAGTATTTAAAGACAACAACGTTTTGAAGTTGAGAGCAACGAAAAAATTGTATATGCAGAGTATGCATAGCTCTCATTATCTACTTGAAACAAGTTTAAAGTAAAATGTTATTAAAATATAGGTTAGATGTCAATATTTTCATCGCATGGGTAAAATATGCATCCCATGGTAAAATATGCTCGCTTTGGGTCATTGAGAGTGAAAATGATTTATAACATCTCAGGTTTAAGTTATGTACCTTAATACAGTAAAATTCCCGCAACACGCCTGAATTATGCACCGAAGGGTAATATTCAGTTTACAACATCAGAAGATTTAATATTAATTTGTTGCAAATAAAAATATATTTGTTCGCGCAAAGATGCTTTTATAAGGACCATATTCAATTAATTGTAAGGCATGATTAGAAATGGTATAAAACTACCGAGTTCTTATAACCAAGTATAAAATAACTAAAAATTATATATACATATATGTAAAGTAAAAAGCAAATTCCGAAAATACAGGACATCTTGAGAATTCGATATGTAGTTCAAAACAAGACGCAGTTTGAGACTGTAAATTTTCGACTTTATTTCAAAGTCATCTTCAGACAGAATGAAATACAATACTTTACAACACATATATATATATATATATATATATATATATATATATATATATAAAACATATATGTCTTACACATATATGTAAAACATATATGTCTTAGAGAATTCTTGATGACGTTGAAAACATTTAAAAAAAATTTTAACTGCACTAATTCAGCGAGCTTTTCAATAACATTTCAAAGACCTGACGTTGTTTTTTTTTCATGTCTTACCTTAAGCATCGTTGACATTGCTGAGAACAAATGTTTTATTAAAACATATATTAATGCATGAAACCCAAGTACTTAAAAACATCTGCATCCTATTCAAGGTTTTAATTAACATTTTCCATCAGTATTATAGTTACAAAGATCTAGTTAGTCACCAAATCGTAGAAATGAAGAGGAGGTGACCTACTACAATGGTTCCGGTCCTACTTGTGTAATCGGCGACAGCGCGTTACCGTCCTCGGTCCTACATCTAACACCTTATCACTGTAACCTCTGGGTACCTCAAGGCTCCATACTATGTCCCATATTATTCCTCTTATATGTTCATGACCTACCCGGTCTCGTCAAATCCAGTCAAGTCGCCATGTTCGCAAATGATACGAAAATATTTAAGTCTATCGCATCAATAAACGATACGAAATTACTCCAACAGGACTTATCCAACTTAGAATCCTTATCCAACTTAGAATCATTATAGATCAATCGAGAGTAAGTCCTCCTGAGATTAAAAAAGCTCAAATCAATGAGAAAAATCATACCCGCAACCTACGAAGACGACATGAGAAAGCTGAAGCAAACCTGATTGCAGAAAGATTACCTCCAAATCTACAGAGAGCGATAGAAGTTTCCACTGAGAAAGGAGCTTCCACATGGCTTACCGCGCTTCCGTTGTCTGACTATGGGTTCAACCTACACAAAGTAGCTTTTCGAGATGCCCACTGTCTGAGATATGGATGGCTTCCTCAGCATCTACCCTCCCGCTGCGTCTGTGATCAGAAGTTTACAATAGAGCATGCATTAAGTTGCTCACGAGGAGGCTTTCCGTCAATCCGACACAACGAGATAAGAGATAGTACTGCTGAATTTTTGACGGAGGTATGCTATGGAGTGGGGGTCGAACCAGGCCTAAAACCTGTAACTGATGAAGTGTTTTCATACAGATCAGCAAACAGAGAAGATGGTGCTCGACTGGATGTTGTAGCAGAAAATTTCTGGGGGCGCGATCGGCAACGTGCATTTTTTGACGTCAGCATAGGCGTACCGGGCGGGGGGGGGGCGGTAGCCCATCAGGTTTTTTGGGCAGTCGGGCAATATTCGATGAACAGTCGGGCAATTTTAGTTTGTTATAAAAATAAATGGGACCAATTCTGTCTTTTTTGTCGGAAATTTAGAAAATTTTGTGGTCAATTTTGTGGTGTTTGTAAAATTTGTGTGATTTTCCGAAAAATTTTGGTATGTCTGGAAAATTTTTGGACCCCTAAAATGGTACACTGATCGAAATTTTTTTGGCGACGGGGGGGGGGGGGGGAGGGCGCCAAAAAAATTTTCCGGAAAAAAATTTTTTAGGTAATAGTCGGGCAACATCCCGTAAAGTCGGGCAAATTTATATCCGCTTCCCTAATTTTTTCCTTCCGGTACGCCCATGGACGTCAGGGTGTTCAACCCTTTCGCACCGAGCTATCGAAACACCTCCCTCTCTCAGTGCTATCGTAAGAATGAACTGGAGAAAAGAAGAGCGTACGACGAAAGAATTAGAGAAGTAGAACACGGGTCATTTTCTCCGCTGGTCTTCTCGACAGCGGGTGGTATGGGTGCCACTGCAAACGTGGTCTACAAGAGAATAGCATCCTTGATGACTGAAAAACACGGCAAGCCATATAGCAAGACAATAAACTGGCTTAGGTGCCGACTTAGCTTTTCATTGTTACGATCAGCGATGTGCCTACGTGGATCCAGATCTTCCCACCACAATCCAATTAATTCCTTTGGTGGGGAGATTGAACTAGCACTAGTTGAAGGACGTGTATCTTGCTGAACAAAATTTAAACTGTAATTGTATAGGAACATACGAAATCGTTTGGAAAACTAATAAACAGATGCAACTTATCGTTTAACTTTAAACATTTTTTTTTATTGTAACTATAATTTTAATGTGTATTTTTAAACTTATCCAACTTAGAATCCTGGTCTACGACTTCTGGTCTCCCCTTTAATCAAATAAATATCGGTCGCTGTCTATACTCATAAAACGAAGTCAGTTGTGACTATATACAAGATGAAGGGTGAAACTCTAGAAATAACAAAATCGGAACGAGATCTTGGCGTCTGGATGTCAACTGATCTCATCTGGAATAATCAAGTAGTAGCACAATCTTCCCGTGCTAACAAGTTGCTAGGCTATATCAGACGGAACGCACGGTTCATTCAAAACACCAGCGTGAGGAGGGCATTGTATTTAACATTAGTACGCCCTCACTTAGGATATGCCACCCAGATCTGGTCGCCACAGTCCATCAACCTAATTGCAAGATTGGAAAAGTTCAAAGACGTGCCACGAAATTTATTCTCAATCAGTCGTTTTCCAATCCAGACAGTTATACCTCGCGATTACAGTCTTTATCATTACTTCCATTATGCTACTGCCATGAGTTTTTGGATTTGTTTTTTTTCTTTAAAATGGTGAGCAATCTGGTAATAATCGAACCTTGATCTGTATTACCAAAAACCCGAAGCACCAGACCGACTAGTTCGTCTATAACCACGGACGTACCTAACTTTGCCATTCCCAGGAGCAAAATAACGACGCATCGACGCTCGTTTCTAAGTCGAACAACCATGAGGGTGTGGAACAGCCCAGCTGACGAACTGAAACTTTACATGATAAATCTGAACTCATTTAAATCTACTATTCCAAGTTATTACTTTCGTGCTTTGGAAATTTCCTACGATCCTGAAAATCCAAGAACATTCAAAACTATATGTACCAAGTGTAATACCGCGCTCGAACTCTGGTTCAGCCTCTTAAGTGCTGCTATTAGTTATTATTTTATTTAGATAGTTTTTTATGTTTGTATTTCCTAATTCGGGGCCGCAGTAATTGGCTCACGCTGTTGAGGTCACCCTGCCTATAGTCATGTATATTATTCTTGTTCTTGTTATAGTTTTGTGTATTGTAATATGGCGAAACTAATAAATAAATAAATAAATAAATGTTGCGAGGTTTAGAAATGAAGCGAATGTCCTTTATTTTAGATTGTTCTTGTAATCTTGTTCTCTTTTAGGAAGCAATAATAGATGCTAAAGACAAAAATGTGTCTCACCTTCCAACTTTCCAAGGTCTCCCAAACTGATCGATAAGGGTAACAAACTTATAGTGTTTTATATGAAGCTCTTTTTTGAAATAAATGCGTGAGCTTTGCTTTAGTTAAAAGCATAAAAGGCGTTCTAAAATCCACAACGATACTTGGACGTAATGTTTCAGAAAAAGACAATGTTATTTTTTTCAAGTGGTATTCTGGACATTTTTGACCGCCATACGTAAGGGTCGCATCGCGAACATTGAGATATGATATAAAGTTTCCTCAAGTGTTTGCAGTGTTTTCTGCACAATCTAGCAGCACTTCTAACAATACTCCATGATGACTTGAAAAATGAGCCAACTACGAGTGAAATGAGCAGGGTCGAAACTCTACAAACATGCCACCATAGAAACTGAAATTTGAATGGGCGTTTTGCGAAAACATCGGACGATTGTACTAACTTCTACGGGACAAATTTTGACATGTATCGTTGAATATTTTCAAATTCATACCAAGAAGTCATAAAGGATCGTTGATTACGCCTCAGTTTCTATTGGGGGGAGGGGGGTGTTATTTTTTTAATATGGCTATTTTAGGGAGGTAGTTTTCTATTTTTCTAAAGGAAAAGGGGGGGGGGTAAATTTTGAAGTTGAAAATGATTCTTACAGCATACTTATCAATCAATCAATCAATCAATACAATAGAAGTTTATTTGAATAATATATACACATGACAGTACAACATTCAAATCCTGCAATAGTAAGCTAATCGCGGCAGGAAATGAATCTACTTGAATAATATTTTTTAACTGAGTTATATGTATAGAGGGAATAAGGTAAATTATTTACAGAACGAGAGTTTAGATAAACGATTGGCTATGGAAATTTTTAAATGAAAAATATTATACATAACACAAATATATTCTTTTTTGAAAGTAATTAGAGAGTTATAATAAGCTGAAAATTATATCGCCGTTACATTAGGCAACATTTTAATTATCGCACGTCAACATAGTCATTTTAAGTATTATTAAAAGAGCTTGATGTATTTTAGATTTAAAAGTCTGTTTACAAGATGAGCGAAGATTAAGATCAATGCTATTCCAAATTAAAGTACCGACTCTAGAAAATGAACGCTTTTGTAATTCCAAACGAGGAGAATTAATGCGTAAATTATCTTTTCCAACCATTTTTGTATCATAGTTATGATATTTAGACGTTTTGGTGAATAATTCATGCAGTGCTTCAGGCGCATGTATCACAGTTGATTGTAGTCAACTTAAGAAGTGAGGAAGTAAACTTGCAGTGTTGGCTTTCTGTTTCCTCACTTCAACTGTGGTTGGGTTGGTGCTATACTACTCTAATTCTAGTGAGTCATGCCACCAGATGTGGTACGTACTTTATAACTATGACCTTTATTAAAAAAAAGGTTAATTATATACTAGTAGTAATATACCCCATATGGCAGAATTTATAATGAACTTGCAAGGGCTATAACGTCACCTCGTTCAGATAGCATCGGCTCTGGCGGCGGAAGTAATTAGTATGCAACGTCACAATTGCGTCGCGTTACCATTAGGTTGTGTTACGTGGTTACGTTACCTGTCACGAAACTCAGTGACGCTAGCATACGTCACCTTAGGTTGCGTTACCAAGTCACATTACCGATTTACATCACAATAGAGTAACGTTACCAAGTCACGTTACTTAATAACGGCACAAATGATCAGAGATTATAAATAACGTGGTTCGAACAAACAATTCATTCATTTTAATCAGTGCGTTTGACAAGTGCATTTCTGGTGGATTGCGTTGGATTGTTTTTAAAATAGCTCAATTGGTAAGTTTACAAAGTACTTGTTTTTATTTCAGATTAATTAATAGGTTGGATTTAGTCTTTCTGACTAATCTATTTTCTTAGATTAATATGTTGGATCTGATCAAGGCTTGCGAGTCCGAAAGTGAGCTCGAATTTCTCGAGTAATTTGACTGAAGAGCAAAAGCAGGCTGTTCTTCAACCAAAAAATTTTTTGGACAATGCGATGGCTGAAGAAATTGCACGGAAGAATCCGGTTGGTGTTGACCCTGACATGATGGCGAATTGGACCGAGGATCAAAGGCGCCAGTTTACCGAAGATTGGGCTAATGACGATGGATTGTGCAAGTTCGAACAACTCGTGGAAGTTCCGTTGCCTGAACCGTCGGAGACCCAAATGGGTGAAGGTGGCAATCAAAAGCACGACAGCGACGACGTTCCCTCAAAATGCCAAAGATCAGAGGAGTATTTCCGTCACTATTAAATCGGTCAAGCAAGTCAACGTGAAGAAATTCAGGACGACAGGTACAAATTAAACAATTCTATATGTGTTTTTAAGCGCTTATTATTTATTACATGCGAGTAAACAGCGCTTTTAAGCGCTCATTAAAGGATATCTAATAAACATCTCTTTTAAGGTCGTTTATTGAAACTAACCTGTCACTTGTTTTATTATAAATATAAGAGTTGTGTTTTGCGGTTGCAGGTCTTGCTGTAATACGGTTTGTTCTGTCTGCGATTGAGATTCGTGCGCATAAGGGTGCGAGTCGATAACGAAATCACTGAATAGGAAAATGATTTCAACGCAAATAGGAAAAATATGGCGTCATATTCCGACGTTGTCGAAGTATTCTAGTCTATAGAGTAGTCTATATAGCAATACATTTCATCACCGCGTCTTGATAAAATATTTTAGAAATGCAATAACAATTTATAATTTAATGTTCCACGCTTGACTGAGTTCCGGCCGTTCTCAAGCAGTCCAGTTCATATGTAATATTGAATAATCTATCATTATTGTTGATTATTGTTGTATACACAAGTAGTGACAGCTATTAGATGGCATTTGATGCTACCGATGAAGTTTTGTTTGTTTAAGGTTACTTATTACAAGCCATAGTCTTTCTGATTGTTATTATTTGGTTAGTACAATAGTGTATTCAGGACTTTTCGATATACGCTCGGTAAGGGTAAGGGTAAGGGTAAGGGTAAGGGTAAGGGTAAGGGTAAGGGTAAGGGTAAGGGTAAGGGTAAGAGTAAGGGTAAGGTATGCTCTACCAATCGAAGCTCTACCAATCGATGCTCTACCAACTGAGCTACACAGTCCGGACGAATTGAAGACTGGAAATTACTAACTATATAATGAATGTCATAAACATACTCGTTTATATATATATATATATATATATATATATATATATATATATATATATATATATATATATATATATATATATCAGTATATATATATAAATAGGTATACAGAAGGAAATGCGAACTCCAGACAGATCAATAATAATGTTTTATTACAAACGTTTCGCCAAAACAGGCTTCATCAGTGTGATCACTGATGAAGCCTGTTTTGGCGAAACGTTTGTAATAAAACATTATTATTGATCTGTCTGGAGTTCGCATTTCCTTCTGTATACCTATCTATAATATTTTAAGCGTCGTGTATCCTTTGGATCCTCCAGACAAGTGACTTCTACGTTGGCAAGC